ATGATTGTTGAGTTGGGAAGAGGATGGATCGGCCCTGGAGTCCAGCGTGGATGATGTGACTTCCCAGTTTTGTCCTTGAAGCGCTTTTCCTTTTCCTGTGTATGGGAGGTCCCCATTGAAATGCTGTGCTGCCTTCAAAGTAGCCAGAAAAGGCCTGGGGTTGAAGAACAACTGCATTCAGATTATATATATATGTATATATATATATGTATGTATATATACACACACACACACATATATATGTATGTATATATTGTCAGTTGTGGGGCCTGAACTCTGGGCCTGGGCGCTGTCCCTCAGCTCTTCAGCTCAAGGCTAATGCTCTACCACTTGAGCCATAGCACCACTTCTGGCTTTTTCTGCTCATGTGGTACTGAGGAATCAAACCCAGGGCCTCATGCATGCAAGGCAAGCACCCTACTACTGAGCCACCTTCTCAGCCCAGAGAGTCATCCTTTCATTCCCTAAAACGATAGCGTGAACCATGCCAGATGCTGGGTGATTTGTGCTTGTCTGAGCCCTCTGCCTGCTCAAGGATCTGCAGTTCCACTCAGGCAGAGGTGGGTGGGGTCCAGTTGTGGGGCTGGCCCTGGGCTGGGCTGGGGAGCAGCTGTGTGTATGTGTGTGTGTGTGTGTGTGTGTGTGTGTGTGTGTGTGTGTGTGTGTGTGTGTGTGTGGCGCGCGCGCCAGCCCTGGGAGCTGTCCCTGAGCTTCTTTTGTTCAAGGCTAGCACTCTACCACTTGAGTCACAGCGCTATTTCTGGCTTCTTCTGATTGGAGTTGATGGGAGATAAGAATCCCACAGACTTTCCTGCCCAGACTGGCTTCGAGCTGTGGTTCTCTGATCGTACTCCTGAGTAGCTAGGATTACAGGTGTGAGTCACCAGTGGCCATCCTGGAGGAGCAGGTTTGTTTTTTTTTTTGGGTCCGGTCGTGGGGCCTGAACTCTGGGCCTGGGCACTGTCCCTCAGCTCTTCAGCTCAAGGCTAGTGCTCTACCACTTGAGCCACAGCGCCACTTCTGGCTTTTTTCTTTTTGCTTATGTGGTGCTGAGGAATCAAACCCAGGGCCTTGAGCATGCAAGGCAAGCGCTCTACCACTGAGCCACCTTCCCAGCCCTGGAGGAGCAGTTTTAAGAAGCCAGGAAGCTCTGTTCCATATGAGAGGACTAGGAAGCCAGAGAGACAGCCAACCCAAAGGGGAGGAAAGTGTCATGTGGGGAGGGGATGTGCTCCCCATAGGCTAGCAAATGGGTGGGAGGCTTTGGGCTTTGATGACTTTCCTTAACCCTCGGAGGGATCTGGGGTCTGTAGCATGGATTGGAATCATGGGATGGGTGTCTTCCGCTCTCCTCGAATGTAGGGGAGGGGGAGCTAAGCTGTGGGGACCCCCCCACTGTTGGTTATCTATGTCTCAACATTGTCCCCAGACTAACACTCTCCCCTTAGTATCTTCCCTGGAGACCTTTGCCCTTAGGAAGACACAGGGACGAGCAGAGAGACATCAGTGCCTCGGTGGGAAGGTCTGGTAGAAATCCTGCTCCTCCCTTGCAAGTCTCTTCTTGTTTAGAATCATAGCTTTGGAAAGAAAGAAAGGCCACTGAAAGCATAGGGGTGTGACAGAAGCCAGTCACATTTATTGAACACACATTGTGTGCAGCAAGTGTGTGGGCCAAACACAAAACAAATACAACAGAGGTCTAACAGCTCCCGTCACTCGTCTCAGGAGGATGACGTCTTACTGGCACAGAGGAGACACAGGTTAAGCACATAGGAACATGTATAATCAAACCGGAGGTATACAGACAGGGTTCATTCTCTACATGAAGACTAGGAGACACTACCATAGCAACTGAGGCACAGGAAGCCACTGTGACACACACTTTCATTAAAGAGAAAAGACAACAACTCTTCATTCCAGTGCTCTGGCCTATCTGGTGATGAAAGGAAGCTCCCAGAAGACACTAGAAAATGCCAGAAAAAAAGTAGTTTTTTTTTTGTTTGCTTAACTCAGCTGGTTGCTTTAGTTCAGATTCAAATTAGTAATCCACTTTAGCATGAAGCAAAGGCAATTTCAAAGCAGGAGAATAGTATTGTATATATGTAAATTAATCAGTAAAATCAGACCTTTCCAAAAAGGTCAAGTACAGATCCTGAAAGTTAATAGCTCTTCCCTCTTCTCTCTCTCTATAAAAGTTCCTATTAAGCAAAAGACTTCCCAATAAATTAAATCAGCAGGGCTGATTTGTTTTATATCTGGAAAAATCCTTTTACATTTTGACACACTTTAAAAATATTTTGAAGTTGAAAGTGGCGCTGTAGCTCAAGTGGTAGAGCGCTCATCTTGAGCTGAAGAGCTGAGGAACAGTGCACAGGCCCAGAGTTCAAGCCCCACAACTGACTAAAAAAATTTTTTTGAAGTAGGGCCACTAGATAAAATATAGGATGTATTTCAGTGCATGGAACCTAGCCATTGCTCATCTGAAATTAGAATTTAGCTAGGTATCTGTATTTTTATTAAGTAATTCTGCAAACTGTTACTTTAGGTTAACTCACATTTAGAAGGTATGTTCCAGAAGTTCCTAATAAGGGCTGGGGGAGGCTGGGAAGCAATTTATCTTTTTTTTTTTTTTTATAAGCTAATACTGTGGGTGGAAAGACTTCATCTTCTAACAGGAAAATTATAGATGATATAAGACATACTCACATGTTATAGGCATTTTTATTTCTTGTGTCACTGTAATTTTCTACTTGTTTTGGGCAGTACTGGTTTGAACTTGCCAGGCAGATGCTCTACCACTTGAGCCATGCTCCCAACACAAACTGCAATTTTAACAATTTATGTTTTTGTTGGGTGAAGTTCTGCCTTGACATCTTTGATTGAAATAGCTGGTAATAGATGGTAAAGTACGATTGTGGTCTGAGGAAAGGGCAGCCTGGTTTGAAAATTGCCATATACCCATCATCCTCTCAATAATTTCTCCCAAGCACGTGACTAGTATTTGCAGAAAACAAATGCAATGCTTACATCTTGTGCAACATGTTACCCAATCATTTCTGGCCATTCTCTCTTTCCTCCTTCCACATGGATTTTTTTGTTTGTTTGGCAGTACAGAGTTTGAACTCAGGGCCTCAAGATTACTAGGCTACCATTTAAGGTATGCCTCCAGACCCCTCATAGGTTTGTGGGGTACATTGGCCCCAGTATATGATGCAGAATATCAAGCCCAGGTCAGTGGATGGTTACGTCCTCAGAGAAAGAAGCAAAGGTCAGCTCACTTCTCAGATGCTCGACATCTTTCTTTCTTTGTAGTTTTTGTTTGTGGTTATTTGCTTCCTTCCCACGCAGGTAGGCATCTTCGGTTATCAATGCCCACGTTAATTCACTGTGTGGGCAATGTTTCTCTTAATAAAGGAAAGACATGTTGGTAAATAGACCTGACAAATTCTATTCTAGAAATGTCCTTACTAATTGTCTCTGAATGCATAACTCATTCTATTATGAACTGAGATTTCTAAGTTAGAGGAGGAAGATTTCAACACTCATTTTGCAGTGATGCTCCTATGAAACTCCAACTCCTTTTTGAAGGAATGTAAAATAATAACACTTGTTGAATTTCAACATCCATTAAACAATTCCTTTCTTTAAACACACCCAAGAATACTCTATGTTTATCTGTGAAGAATATAAGCATATGTTCAGTTTACACATCTGTATAAAATTACCCAAATATTAGCAGATACCTAGATTATATTTAAAAGCAAATGCAGTGCTGACATTCAAAAGTGATTCGTTAACTCAATCCAAGAGCCATTTTCCTTCTGGGACTGGCTATGTACTTTTCCACCGTTGGCCAGCTACATACACTTACAACTCTCCTTTGTAGCTAGAGATCTTTCTGGAAAAGAGGAAGTGCAGGTGTGTATGAGAAATTAAGTTGGGACAAAGAAGTTATGGGATTTAAAAACCACCTTATAAAGAAGAAGTTAAATAATACATACCACTAAAGAAGAAAAAGCTGCTGGGCACTGTGGTTCATACCTATAATCCTAGCTAATCAGGAGGCTGAGATCTGAGGATCATAGTTGGAAGTCAGCCTGTGTGGGAGAATCCATATCACTCTTACCTCCAATTAACTAGCAAAAATCTAGAAGTAGAACTGTAGTTCAAGTGGTAGAGTGCCAGTTTTGAGTGAAAAAGCTAAAGGGCAGTGTCTGGGTCCTGAGTTCAAGAACTAGTACACCAGCACCAAAAACAAAAAGTTCTTTATGCATGTCCTGCTGCTTAGCATTCATATAAGAAGATACATTAGGCCTAGCTCTTTGCCACATACTCTTTTCTTTGTGGAAATAGGAGTTTTAAATTCCCTCTTTCAGACAACCTTCCTTTGGTTCTTCTGACAACCATGGGAGCTTGCATCTCTAACCCCTTCCTCTACCCCAAGATGGAAACAATCCAGACTGTTGTCTTACTAGGGAAGCTGGTCAGAGAGGATCCTCTCCCTGCGCTCTTGACCTGGTGGCCACAGGAGGTGGGTGGCCATTGCAGGAATGTGAAAGAGGGGTGGGCTGCGGGCGGAGGGGGCAGCGCAGCTTCCATAATTCTGCATGAGCAGCAGCAGCAGCAGCGGTGGCAGTAGCAGCATGTAGAACTGTGCCACTGTGGAGGAAGGCCTCTTGCCTGGGGTGTTCTAGAATCTTCCAAAGCTCAGGAGCGTCCACATTTCCATGCTGGACATGTGCTTGATAGGTACCTGTGTGGCAGGAGGCCGGGGTGGGGAGAGGGGAGGGCAGTTCTGATGAAGGTTACCAAGAGTGCCTTGGCTGCTCTATCTGGAAACTGAGGCACAAGCCTTTCCCTGGTTGGTGCCACCTTTCTGGGAACAGGATGAGGGATGGACAAACCGACTAGGCCGAGGCTGGAGCAATCCCCCCCCCCTTCGCTTGTGCCTCCAGCCCATCCCCTTCTCCTTCCCTGGCCCCCTCCCCCGGCGGGCAGGCCCCGGCGGGCAGGCCCAGGGCGCGCTCAGGGGGCCGGGGCCGAGGCGCTCATGTGGCTGTAGGAACCCCTGGACAGGGAGGCCCCCACGGTCTTCCCGTCCTCCTCCTCGGCCCCCTCGCCTCGCACCCCTGCGGGGCCGGGGCTGGGGCAGCAGGGGAAGGTGGCCATGAAGCCGAGGCGGAAGCGTTTGTTCATGAAGCAGTAGATGATGGGGTTGACGCAGGAGGAGGTGTAGGAGAGCAGGTGGATGAAGGAGATGGGCGTCCCGGAGAGGCGGCGCTCGGCCGAGGCGGTGTCGTAGGCGCGCCAGGCGTTGGCGCTGAAGATGGGCATCCAGCACAGGAAGAAGAGGAGCACGATGACCATGAGCATGCGGATCACCCGCTTCTTGGCCACCAGGCTGGCCGCCGAGCCGCTGCTGCGGACGCGGCGGACCCGGCCGACGCTGCTGCCGCGGCGGCTGCTGGACAGCGGCTGCAGCCGCAGCTGCGCGGGGCGCCGGGACTTCTGCGCGTAGCAGCCATCGCTGTCCTCCAAGAGGCCGCCGCTGCCGGGGCTCGGCTTCCTCTCTGGGTGAGCAAGCACAGCCCGAGGGCTCAGGACGACCGTGCTGAGCAGAGGGGCCCCGCCCGCCGCCCAGGCCGGGGTCCCTCCTGCCTGCCGCCCTTCCCTCCTTCAAGGCTGCTTCAGTGGGGCCAAAGCCACTGGGTTCAGGGGGGCCAAAACCACAGGGTTCTGTAGACCACTCAGTGTGCAACGGAAAGCATACCCTGCACAGCACCTTGAAGTGCGTCAAGAGGGTGTGCAAGGAACGACTCCTACTCGGTCTCCTTTCTTTCTGCCTGCTTGCTACAACTCCAGAGGGTTGTAGGAATTCCAGGGGGGAAAAAAGTGGAGGGAAAAAACCCACTGAAGCTAGAACCACCAAGTTATCCCGGAGTCAAGAGTGGAGGAGGGGAAAGTTAGGCCAAGTCCTGCTCATAGGTAACTGTAGGGGCTGGGGAGAGAGAGGAGAGGCACGGGGAACGAGGATGAATAACTGGGCTTTCAGGTTTAGGTCTAATCTTTTTGATCTCTTCTAAGGCATAAGTACAGAACAGAATTGTTATTATGTAATTATTGCCAGATGTCTGTTTGAATACATTACAAAGAGTCTGGGATACACGGTTCTGCCCTTATACTTGGGTTATGTGTCCATCATTTCCCTTTATTCCAAGCAGTCCGTTTTTGAGAGAAATGAGTCCCCATTTTACAGATGAGAAAATAGAGTCTCCTGACTGCCATATGACACAGAGTCTCAGAAAAATGCCCTCAAAAATCTCCACTGACTAGACAGGATTATAGGCTTATGCCTATAATCTTAGCTATTCAGGAGGCTGAGATCTGAGGATCAAGTTTCAAAGCCAGCCTGGGGAGAAAAAAAAAAATCCCTGAGACTCGTGCCTCCAATTAATTTGCCAAAAACCAAAAGTAGAAATGTGGCTCAAGCAGTAGGGTGCTAACCTTGAGCAAAAAAGCCAGGCAAAAGTACAAGGCTCTGAGCGCAAGCCGCAGTTACCAGCATATACACGCGCACACACACATCTCCACTGTGCTCAATAAATATACACTGAGTGTCTCCATTTCAATGATAGAAAACAAGATTTTTGTACCCATTTGGCAGAAATTGTTATCTAAACACTGCTTACCTTTGGCAGATTTCTTCTGGCTCGCATCAAATTTTATTCCTTGGTAGAGTTCCAAAGAGATTAATCCATATGCCACCACCATCACAATTCCGGGGATAATAAAGAGGATGAGCAACAGGAAGGTATGCCTGTTACAATGAAAAGAAATTCAATAACCAGCAACTCTGGACATTCGTACTCAGCTGGGTAGGAATGACGAGGGCACATCTTTGTTTTAACTGGTCCCAGCAGACACATCAATCACTAACGTGTCATGCCCTTGGAATCCCATGTCTGGAGGCTCAGACATTAGAACTTGTTTACTTCTTTTCTTCTCCTTTTTTTTTTTTTTAAAAAAAAGATAAAGTCTTTATGAAAGAGAAATTGGAAACATTTGGCATAATTCTGTGCCTGAAACAAATATTTGAAAAATAATAAAAAGCCAGGAAAAGTGGTATGCACTTGTAATCCCAGATACTTGGAAGGCTGAGGTAGAAGGATCATTTGAGCCTAAGGGTTCAAAGCCAATATGGGCAACATGGTGAGATCCTATCTCTACAACAAACAAAAATCAATAGCAACAACAGGACAAAAAGCCCAATACAACCACAAAGAACAAATAAAACTTTAAATGAGAATGTGTGAGTTATATTATAAAGCTGTTACCAATATCATATTAATAACAGTAAGGATGAGAGCTTACATTCATTTTTTGTGTGTGTGTGTATCCAGTCATGGGGCCTGGGTGCTGTCCCTCAGCTCTTCAGCTCAAGGCTAGCACTCTACCACTTGAGCCACAGCGCCACTTCCGGCTTTCTTTCTTTTTGCTTATGTGGTGCTGGGGAATCGAACCCAGCGCCTCAGGCATGCAAGGCAAGCGCTCTACCACTGAGCCACCTTCCCAGCCCCGCTTACATTCATTAGTAAACACACATGATATGTAATATGTGCCGTATGCTAACCTAAGTACTTGACATATATTACATCTATTTAAGTCCCATAACAACTTTGGAAGTATCTACTATTATCCTACTGCTGATTTTAGCCTAAATATTTTGAGACTGAAGGAGATGAAATAATTTACCTAAACTCTCCTCGCTTGTGGTGGAGGTAGAATTTGAACTCAAGCAGTAAGGGTTCAGAAGCAAAGCTCTTACATATGAAGCCTTTAAGATATGAGAGGACTCACAGGCTTAGGTAGAGATAGTAAGAAATCTGTTTGGATTTAACAAACTGTGGTATTCTGGCTGCTCCCATTTCCTGAGCAGCTCATGAATATCCTTGGTTGCTGATTCTCCTCCCCGCTGTGAAGCTGGTGTGGCATTCTTGAGCCTGGCCGGGTAGAGCTATGCTTTCTCTAAACATATTTGACTCCTGAGGAATCACAGCCTCTGCATGATGAGTCTAGCCTCTAAATCACTTTTTGCTGTCTGGCATGTGTAAGATGACACAGGGCAGCCATAAAATTGTCAGTGGCTTACAGTGGCGGGGCCATTTCTCATTGCAATTGGACATGTTTTGATAAGATTTCTTTTCAGGTCTTAGAAATAACCTTCTCATTTGCAACATAATTCTGTCTGTGGGTGTGTGCGTGCAAATGTACTCTCATGCTAATTGATTAAAAGGAAAAAGGCAAAGAAGACAGAGAGACTCTGTATGGAGACTATTCTGCATTATCTAGTTCCTGCTTCTATAACATCCTTACAATGAGTAAACACAGCACCCTGTATTTATGTCACTTTTTTTTAATGCCAGTCCTGGAGCTTGAACTCAGGGCCTAGGTGCTGTCTTTGAGCTTTTTTTGCTCCAGACTGTTACTCTACTACTTGAACCATACCTCTACTTCTGACTTTTTGGTAGTTAATTGGAGATTAGAGTCTCATGGAGTTTTCTGCCAGGGCTGGCTTTGAACCTTGATCCTCAGGTCTCAGCCTCCTGAGGAGCTAGGGTTCCAGGTATGAGCCACTGCTATCTAGCATGAGACAGATTTGTAAAATTTCCTATTATAAACTCCTTGTAGAGCTAGCGTCTAAAGCTTAGCATGCTTTTGTGAACTAGCCCATGACACCCCTGTGTCTGGTAGAGTTCTGGGTGAGCATCATGGTGAGCTGTAAGAAAGGCCACGTGGGATTAAATTTTTTAGAGCATTGTAGCTTTCCAAGTGTTCTAGTCTAAAGGCCTTCCAGACCATCTGCAGATCAGGCCTGGTAATTCCATACAGTCTCTGCTCTCGCAACCCTTGAAAGTTTGGACCAGCTGATCTTTGCATGCCTTGGCTTCCTCATCTAGAGTGTGAGTGTGGTAACTGTACCTCACACCCAAAGGGGTTTGAGAAGATTGATTGAGGGCATTCAAATGGTAGCACTCCAGCTCAGTATTTGACTCTTAAGGCTATTCTAGAATGATCTTCCTCTGGAAGTCTTGAGGACATGGCACTCCAGAGTTTTGCATTGCAAACTTACACCAAGTTGTGTGTAAAAGGGGCAGGCATAATCCAACTTACCAGGACTGCTGCATTGCATCATTTGGCAGGAGAAAGCGGCACATGTTTGCAGTCTGGTTGTTATTTTTGGTAAAAGGCACCAAGTTGCTGTAGATGGGGTAGGGCGTCATGATGGTGAAGGAGAGACACCAGGTTGCTGCAATCACCTTCAACGCGTGGGATTTTGTTTGCCAGACCCGGGACTTTAAGGGTTTGCAAATGGCACCATATCTCTCCAGTGAGATGGCGACCAGGTTGAAGGTGGAGACGCTCACAGAGGTGCCTGGGGAGGGGCACAGAAGCCAGGCATGTTGGCACTGAAAATGCAAAGCTTATTTGCACATTAGCTGAAAGCGTATCTGCTGAGCACAGGCTTAATACCAGAGGAAACTACTCCAGGGACAAAGAAATATTGTGTATGTCTATCTTAAAAGGATGATTGATTGCCAGCCGCCAGTGGCTCATGCCTGTAATCCTAGCTACTCAGGAGGCTGAGATCTGAGGATCACAGTTCAAAGCCAGCCCGGGCAGGAAAGTCCCTGAGACTCCACCAGAAAACTGGAAGTGGTGCTATGGCTCAAACGGTAGAGCGCTAGCCTTGAGCTGAAGAGCTGAGGGACAGTGCCCAGGCCCAGAGTTCAAACCCCACAACCCACACACACACAAAAAAAAGATGATTGATTCCCAGCTTTGTTTCCAGAAGGTTTTTTTTGTTTGTTCGTTTGCTTGCTTTGTTGGTCGTGGGGCCTGAACTCTGGGCTTGGGCTCTGTCCCTCAGCTCCTCAGCTCAAGGCTAGTGCTCTACCACTTAAGCCACAGCACCACTTCCAGCTTTTTCTGCTTATGTGGTACTGAGGAATTGAACCCAGGGCCTCATGCATGCAAGGCAAGCACTCTACCACTGAGCCACCTTCCCTAGCCCCTCCCAGAGGTTTTAAACACATAGTGAAGATTATGTGTTTGCAAATCTTATGGCCAGTTTTCATATATGTTATTGAGCTTTGACTGTAATCAAGGAGATAAAAATACATTGCTATCTCACAGAAAATGAAAGAAGACTCCTAGCCAGGTGCCAGTGGCTCATGCCTATCATCCTAGCTAACACAGGGATCTGAGATCTGAGGATCATGGTTTGAAAGTAACCCTGGGAAGAAAGTCTATAAGACTCCAACTCACTCTCCACAAAGAACCAGAGTGCGGGTGTGGCTCAAGTAGTAGAGCACCACCTATAAGCAAGGAAGCTCAGCAGGAGTACAAGGCCTTCTCTGAACAGGAAGCACTGGTTTTCTGAAAACACACTTTTAAAGAGTGAAACAACACGTTGTGTGTTGAAAAAAATACATAGACAAAAAGATGGGAGAGAAAAGTTTGACTGTATGAAGGTGTCTCTGGGCATAGGAATGAGGTCTTCCTAGTCACTCTGCTTTTCTGTGATTTATGAAATGAACATGTATCATGATTATAATAAAGACATTAGAAAAACCATAATGTCTCAAACCTCAGGATAAATATAGATTTGGGATCAGAGTTCAGAACCTGGCAAGGTTAGAGCCCCAACATGTATACAGATATGTGTGCTTTCTCTAAAACTATGTTTAAACATTTTTTTTTTTTGAAGGAAGCTTAGCCCTCGATTTTCTCAAAGTCTCAAAGGAGTTTATCATTCTCCCAGCGCATGAAGTATAAGCTCCTGGGAGCTTGTACAGCCTTTGCTGTGACGTCATCCTACAGGTCTGACAGCATTTAGAAAAGAGAGGGCAGCCCAGACTCCTCTGTGTAACGTCCACTGACACTCTTCATTTGTTTGTTAATGTCAATGGTTAACAATAGTATTAAAGAGACCATAAAGCTGACAGAAGAATTCAAATGACTAGAATTAGAAAATAGTCGCAATGACATTTTAAATACCTTCAAAATGATCTGCCTTTCCTCTTTTTTTTGACTGTTCTAAAATGTTTTCTTAATTAAAGTGACATAACGCAAGGTTCAGCAACATAAAATGAACCGTTGGGTGAACTCACAATGTCATGTGACCACGGGGAAACTCAACATCACCCTCTTCCATGGGCTCCAGGGAAAGCTCTAAGGGAGAATTCCCAGGTGCGTGGACAGGCCTAGGGAACTTAGGGTGCTAGAAAGTTCTAGTGATCATTGCTTTATTATGGAACACTGATGCTTTTCATCTGTAGGCTCTTTTAAAAAATGATTTTCAGAGGACTTGGGCACAGTGACATGTTCTTGGTGACTTGTTTGTGGCATGAGGTCAGGAATTCATACCATTATATTTGTGCTGGATCCTGCTGCAAGTGGGAAAAAAATTTTAAAATTTTCTGGTCATTCAAGGCTGCCTGGTGCTCAGTATGTAAAGTATGTAGTGTGTGTGTGTGTGTGTGTGTGTGTGTGTGTGTGTGTGTGTGTGTGTGTGTGTGTGTGTGTGTGTGTGTGTGTGTGCGCGCGCATGCGCACACCCGTGCCAGTCCTTGGGCTTGAATTCAGGGCCTGGGCACTGTCCTTGAGTTTTTTTGCTCAGGGATAGTGTTCTACCATTTGAAACACAGCTTTACTTTTTGGTGGTTAAATGGAGATAAGAGTCTCACTTTACTGACTGGTCTGGCTTTGAGCCACATCCTTAGCTCTCAGCCTTCCGCGTAGCTAGGCTTATGGGCACGAGCCTGGGCGTAACCAGCACGATGCTCCTCTCCCATCACCATCTCTCCTCTCCCAAGTAGTTTGTTCCCAGAGCAGGTGAGGATCAAGGCAGAGAGAAGAGAGCATAAGAAACACGTTTTATTGAACTTCAGAGGGTAACGATGGCAAACTCAAGCAGTGCTCCACCTCTGCAGGGGCTGCTAATACTCGTTTAAAATCCCAGCTGTGGAGATTGCTGCCTGTGTGTCCTTGAGCACATTAAGAACCTCTCTGTGCCTCTGTCCTCACCTTGATAATTGGGCAAGAAGGGCAGTATTACTCCACAGGATGGCTAGTTGATAAGATCATGCAAGTAAAAGCCCTTAACCCAATAAGTACATACAAGTACTCAGAAATAGTAGTGCTGGTGAGTTTTATTATAATCATTTTAATTGTCAGAAGCAGAGCACTCAATATCTCCACCAAGAAGGATCAGCTTAATGTACCCTCAGGTCCCAAGAGCATATGCAACTCCTTACCGCTGACATAGGTCTCTTAGTCTGTCTGTCTGTCTCTGAGATGGTTCTAGTGCTTGGGAAGTTAACCCTGAGAAGGGAATCTAGACCTGTGGTCTAAGTAGTTTACAACTGTCTGTGTTCTGTGACAAAGCAAGGGACACAAAGGAGGAACCCTTCTGCACGTTTCATGACCGCACCATCCCCAGGAGCTGTGAACCCAGCTGGAGAGAACTCAGGACACAATCCTGGCTTCCAGAGAGGGCTAGGGCACCTTGAAGCCACTTTTAGGTTCTTTCCCTGGGGTCGGAACCCAGTGAACTCCACATCCTCTGTGTTCCTGTATCAATTCCAACATGCAGAATATGTTTGCTTTTTGTTTTTGGTCAGTTGTGGGGTTTGAACTCTGGGCCTGGGCTCTGGACCTGAGCTCTTTTGCTTAAGGCTAGCATTCTACCACTTTGAGCCAAAGCACCACTTCCAGTTTTCTGGTGGCTAATAGGAGATAAGAGTCTCATGGACTTTCCTGCCCAGTCTGGCTTCTAACCTCAATTCTCAGATCTCAGCCTCCTGAGTAGCTAGGATTACAGGATTGAGCCACATAGCATCCAGCACCCATAACGTTTGATGGACCTACCACCACGCCAGCACCTGTGCCCATGCCCAGAGCCTTGTACAACCAGATGTTAGTGTATCAGGGCCCAGTGGGGTCCCTCTGCTGTGGTGCCTAGGGTTGGGAAGGTCGGGGACATGAGTAAGGTCTTTGCTGAGCTCTGCCTAGGCTAAGCACTCACCCATGAAGTAGGTGGTGGTCTTGCACACGGCGCTCCCAAAGATGAAGTCCCTGAGCAGGTTGGGGATGAGGTTGAATGGCATGCAGAAGAGACAGAGCATGAGGTCGCTGACAGCCAGGGAGAGCAGGAAGATGTTGGTGACCGTCCTCATCCTCTTGTTCCGAATCAACACTGTGATGACCAGCGTGTTCCCCAGCACGCTGAGCACAAAAATCAAGGTGTACAGGAAAATCTGCACAGCCGGCTGCCACTCTGCGGAGGAGAGCAGGGTTGGAAGGATCGAGATTGTGAGAGCTGAACTTTAAGATCCAGTGTTTATCCTCCCCCCACCTGGGAGGGAAGGGGTGCAGACCATGGGAGCCCCATGTATTCCTGCCCAACTACTTTTGTGCTGAGACAAACTGAGATCATGAGGCCATCCAGATGTTTTTTAAAAGGTTGGTTTGTGAAAGGATCTCTTTTGCCTAAGGAACAGAATTTCTAACTTGCGAGGGTTTCCTTTGCTTAGATGCTAAACGATCACTTCTTCATAGTGGGTGCCCCCACCCCCGAAGAAAAGCCGTCTGGCTCTGTCCTGCCCAGTGCCTTTTTAAAAAATAACACTTGTTAAGTTCAGACTTGCTGGCTGGCGTTTCTTTCTGCCTCCACTCAGCCCTTCCTCCTCCCGCGTGGGTCCCTCCGATCTCAGCTCCTGCAAGTGAGTCCCCAACTTTCCCACGGAGGGACAAGAACACCGTGGGATTCCCGTTTGCTTCTGATCTTGGATTCCAACTTGGGAGGCTGGGGCTGGATCCCACCTGCTCTCAAACCCTGGTGGGGAGGCTTTTCTTGATCAGTTTTGCCTTCGCTCATTTCTCCCTCAACCTCTAGGACTTGTGAATGGAAAGAGTCGCCTACCTTTGGAGGGACGAGACTGATCCACGCAGAAGAGCGTCTCGTTGTCCAGCCCGAGCTCGCAGAGGAGGGTGAGGCTGCTCCCATTCGCCAGGAGGCTGTCCTCCGCGTCCATCCTCGCCTGCTGCTTTCTACCAAGTGCCTGTGAGCGAGGGAAACTGCTCACTCCCGGCTCACTCCTCTAATGGTCGCAGAGTCCAAATGCAACCAGCCATGGAGGGCAGACAGGGAGGAAGCGATTTCCAGGGGTGGCCTTTTGCCGCCATTCCGAAAGCCACCTGGAGCTCACTCTGCTCAGGCGGGCTGCGTGAGCGCGTTTGCATTACTATGGTTGAAAAAACAGCTGGTGCAGGTTGAGCCTGCTCCCACACCTTCTGCTCCTGGGCCCGCTGTGAGTTAACCCTTCCAGAGGGGGGCTACTTTTGCAACACACACACACACACACACACACACACACACACACGCACGTGCGCGCACACACACACACACACACACTCACATCACCCCTAGCACCTCCCCTCTCCGTACATGATCCTATCCTAACCCAGACATTTACAGATGGAAGCCCACATGGGTTATGTGGACAGGACTAATCAACAGCTGCAGACAGCAGCACCGAGGGCCACGGAGGGCCCTCATAGAAAGGCCATTAGTGCCTTTTGAGCCTTGGAGCCAGCCACGTGTGTGGCCATCGCTGCTGGGTGGCTGGTTGTTAAGTTGTTACCAACCGCAGTGGAATGTCTTAGGGTCTCTGCCCTTGATAATTGGGAGCAGGGGCTATGTCTAAAGATAGGCTCGTGGGTCTTTCCTTTAAAAGAAGGTTTCTCCATTCACGTCTCCATTCATTCAGCCCGTGTTCTAGCACACCAGTATGTAATGAGTAAGATCACTGCGGCCCTCGTTAAGCATCCTAAAGGAAGTTCAGCAGGGGGGAATGGGGAGGAATCCAAGAAGGGTGCTATGGTAGACAGATGGCCAGGAAAGGTCCCTGGAGGAGGGGATCCTACCCTGTGATGCAAATGAAGAGGAGGAGGAAGGCTGGTGAAGGTTTGAGGGCAGCTGCTTCTAGGTAGAAGGAGCAGTATAAGAGCAGGGGTGACAGCCAGTACAAGGGCCCGGAGGTGGGTCTGAGCTTGGCCTCACTTAAAGAGCAGGTGGAAGTAGACGTGAATGAGAGGTGGATGATTAGGTGGGAAATGCATTTGGGGGTGAAGCCCCTCCCCACCCATTGTATAACTTACCTCCTCAGTTTCGATGTTCTGTAAGCAGGCTCACTTGGGCAGAGCTGAATTCTTTGTGAAGTTCATGAACACTGGATTAGTGTACGTGCAGGAACACTGGCTTCCCAGCCAGTGGTCCCTCACTTCTTTGAAATGACAGACAGCTGCCGTTTGGGGGAACAGTGACCGAAGCGGAAGGGAGAGGGATCTTGGGACACGCTGGTAGTTGTTAGTAGGACCGGCTGTGGCATCACACACACCTGGAATCCACCCTGGCTCCGCTGGAAATCCTGAACAAGTCTCTGAACCTCCCCCAGGCTGGTTTTCTTCATCGGTCAGAGATGAAGCTGACTGCGCGGATATTTATGATGGAGACTGACGGCCGCAGCACAGGAAGTGTTGGCACATCACAGATGGCTGCGTGGATAGCTTGCCACTGATAATGATGGTGATTTTCCTTTTACAAATGAGGACCCTGGGGAGACTTCGAGGTGACTGCCCCCTCGAGCTTCCTGCGGCTTGGCTTCTGCCTTCATTATTCCACCACTGTGCAGTCCACTGGGAGCTGGAGCCCAGGCCTCCACTTCCCTACCCTGCCACAGGGTAGGAGAGCCAGGCTCGAGGCTGAGCTGCCTTGAGCTGAAATGGAGCCCAACTGTGGGATCCCTCCCTCGCTCCCCTCCTCTCCCCTCCTCTCCCCTCCTCTCCCCTCCTCCCCCTTCCCCTCCTCTCCCCTCTTCTCCCCACCCCCTCCTCTCCCCTCCTCTCCCCTCCTCTCTCTTCCTCTCTTCTCTTCTCCTCTCCTCCTTCCCTCTCTCCCTCCCTCTCTCCTTTCTTTCCTTCTTTTCTTCCTTCCTTCCATCCTTTCTTCCTTCCTCTATCCATTCCATCATCCTTCCTCCTCCTCCTCCTCTTCTTCTTCCTGCTCCTCCTCCTTGTGCCAGTACTGGGGCTTGAACTCAGGGCCTACATACTGCTCCTTTTTCCCTCAAGGCTGGTATTCTACCTCTGGAGCCACAGCTCCACTTGTAGCTTTTTGCTGGTTAATTGGAGATAAGAGTATTATGGACTTGCCTGCTGGGGCTGGCTTCAATCTCGGCTTCCTGAGTAGCTAGGATTGTAGGTATGGGCCATCAGCGCCCCTCCCCCAACTTGTTCTCATCTTCTATGCGCCTGGGTTGGCAGGAAGTGAGGGTGAGTGCTAAGACCCCATCCACGCCGCACGCGCAGCGAGGGTTGCAGTGTTGCCATTCTATGAACTTTGGGGCATAGCTGTTTAAACCAGGGTCAGTGGTTTAAACAAAACAAGATTTCCCACCCCTAAGGATTCCCATTCTTCAGCTCAGGCCTGGGAATCTGCATTTCTACCAGATAGCCCTAGTGATTTGGAGGCCAGCTTGTAGAAGCTCTGGGAACCATTGAGGACAGGAGGGCAGGCATTGGACTGTATGGGTCTAAGCCTGGTTATCACATTGTGGAGTCTCAATTTGCTCATCTACAACATGGTTGATAAAATACAACTACCTAGCTGGGTGCTGGTGGCTCACACCTGTAATCCTGGCTACTCAGGAGGCTGAGATCTGAGGATCACAGTTCAAAGCCAGCCCAGGCAGGAAAGTCTGTGAGACCCTTATCTCCAATAAACCACCAGAAAACTGGAAGTGGTGCTGTGGCTCAAAGTGGTAGAGTGCAAAGCCTTGAGCTGAAGAGCTGAGAGACAGCGCCCAGACCCAGAGTTCAAGCCCCAACTACCTATAAACTACCTATAAACAAAACAATACAGGAAAAGCATTTCAAACAATGCAGAACATAGTGCCACACACAAATTGTTCTTATTAATGGATAAGGATAGTCCCAGAGATGTTGACTTAATCCTATCATGGCCAAGCCAAGGGTTTGGATACTATCCCAGCCCAGCCTGACATGTGAGATGCTTGGTCAGTGAGAAGGAGTGAAGAGTAAGTCATTAGGAAAGCCACTGTTTCATTGCTTATTATGCCCTTTTATCACTCAGTTACTATCCAACTCTGGGTTTTTCACTCTGCATGTGTGAGCCAACACTATTAATTATCAGTTAACCTGGGGGTGGGGTGGGTGGAGAGGGAGGAAGGGAGGAAGAGAGGAAGGGAGGGAGGGAGAGAATTCCAGTGGCAGATGTTGAGGTTCTCCAGGGAAAAGCAGATTCATGTCTAGGATGTCAGCTCTCATTTCACTCAAGGTGCTGGGTTGTGTGCTAGGTGCTAGGAGCCAGTGTGAGCCGAAGACCTGCTCTTGAGAGTCGCTCAGTCCACTGAGGTAGACCAGGCAACCTGGAAGTATCCAGGTTGAATTGGTACAAATTGGCTAACTTGATTCAGAACGCTTTCAATGTCTCTCCAACCCCAGACACACAATAGTGGCCAGGACTAGCTAAGCCTTCGAAGCTTCTTAGAGCCCACAAAGACTTGTGGGTATTGGAGCCTAATTTTCAAAGCCAGAAAGAAAGAACGTTGGGCTTCTGGGTAATGAAATTATGAACTGCTTCTCGGTTTTCCATTTTAAGGAACAATTATTCTGAATCACCGACTTATCTGTGTGTATTTTCTTCCTAATTAGAATGTTAATGACATACTCATCGCCAATTTTTTTTAAGTACAGAAAAATGGTAGGTATAAATAGAACATAAATAAACCTTCAGACCGCACGCACACGATTTCTTCTCAGGGCAAAGTCCCCTTGAAAGAAGCACAGCCCCAAAGCCAGAAGAGGTTTTCAGGCGATAGTGTGCACGGGAGACTCAATCCACAGGCAGGGCGACCTGACCTCTCTTCAGATTCTCCTCTCTACAGCCCTTTCCCCCAGAGCTGCTGCTTGGAATGGCACTGGCTACATTCCCTAGTCCCCACCACCGTGCCCATCTCCCCAAGGCTGCAGACTGCCTCTAACTGGCTCAGCCTTCTGGAAGAGACCAGCAGGGACTTCCTCTTCTTTACCGTGAAGGCCCAGTTGGGTTCCCACAGGAAAAGTCCATGCCTGAGGCTCCTCTCATCCCAGTGATGGGGGGGAGCCTGCGTCACCCGCCCCCCCCCCCATGCTTTTACCCCAGCGAAAGCTCTTGGAGACATCTCAGTGGATCCTTTCTGATCCACAACTCCCTCCTTGCTACCGAGGAAGGGTGAGTCCCATGACTGTTAGAAAAGACTGATTTAATAAGCAAATAGCTGGATCCAAGTCTCTGTTTCCTCAGCTGTTCACTGGGCTCATAGCTGTATTTCCCCGGCCACAGGGCTGCCTGGTATCACAGGGCAGGAGAAGCAATGCCTGCAGGTAGGTCATGTGACAGAAACAATAATGCATGATGGTTTACACCTTAGATGACCTGGTAAATGGTCAGGAGGCGCTCATCTTAGCCCTGCCTGTGAATTCGTGCTTTGAAAATAAAACTGAGATGGGGTGCCATGGCTCATGCTTGTAGCCCTAGCTACTTTGGCAACTGAGATCTGAGGATTGTGATTTGAAGCCAGCCCAGACAGGAAAGTCCATGAGACTCTTATCAACAATTAACCAGCAAAAAACTGCAAGTGGAGGTGTGGTTCAGGTGGTAGTGCACCAGCCATGAGCAACAAAAGCCAAGCAAGTGCTTGAGGCCCTTTCCAAGTTCAAGCCCTAGTACTGCTCCCTGCCCTCTGCCAAGCCTAAACAAACAAACAAAAAAATAAAAAACAAAGTTGAGATGATGCTCTATGGACAGTATTCATCCTGGGTTCATTCAGAATGCAACTTTAAGGCAAAAATGTTCTTTGGAATAAATGTTGTTGTTTTTTTATATGGCAGTACTGGGGCTTGAACTCAGGGCCTGGGCACTGTCCTTTAGCTTTTGAACAACCGCAAGTTAAATGCAGTACAAGTGTCACCTCTA